AAAACATTTTTTATCCTTGTCTTTATTGTCACAATTTGACTAAAAAATGTGCAACAACCATTCACATTTTGGAAGAAGAAGAAAGTACACTACATCATTAAACACATAAATAGGAAGAATAAATGTCATTGAGAAAAATTTCTAGCTTCAGTGAAGTCAATGATGATGGGAAGAAAGAGAACTTTAGTAGTTTTCGAAAATTCAGAGGTTTTAATGAAAATTGGGCTTAAACCTTAATAAGTGCCTTTTGCACTATTCCAGAAAAATAAAAAGGAAAATGTGCAGCCATTTTTGAGAAAATTTTAAAAATGTAGTTTCGTGGAAAATACTCCCCAAAAAATAAAAGATACCCAAAATGCCCCCAAAAAACTGGCAAGTCTTCACGTTCGCCTAGATCAATCGCTTAATCTCATTTTGGGGAAAAATATTGGGAACTCTTTAGGCGATGTTCTTATTCACTGTCGGACGATTTTGAAAAGAAACTAGTAGTGCTACAGAATGGCACAGACGTTCCCATATTAGTTTTCTATTTCCTTTGGTCTTGGCTGGCTATTCGGACTTGCCACGGACTCTTGGCAGCTGCCATCTATCGCCATCCAAAGTACATTTTTTGAAATTATTTTAATTTTTCTGTTCCCTAATTGTAAAATGGAAATATTATTTGAAGAAAATTAAGAACGGTAAAACCGCGTTCTAAATGGCAATTTTATTTGAAAAATTCATAGTCGTTTTTAAGAAAATGGTGCTTAACTGTAAATTTGAAATTTGAAGCTCTTTTTCATAGAACATTTTTGAGTATTCGTAAAACTTCTTTAGAAGTCATTTGAAGCTCTTTAACTCACAAATACAATAGTGTTTTCAAGTTGCTCTAAATGTGCATATTAACGGAGTGAGAGCTTTTTGAAAAGGCAAAATTACATCTATAGAAGCATTCACCAAATATTGAAAACCAAGATTAACCAAAGAAGACTGTGAAACTTACATGGCTTGCTGAAACAGAATCAGGGCACCCTTTTGCTTCCTTGGTATGTGTGTTAATTTTGACCACATTATTAGTAAGGTCCAGTTCTTGGTTTAAAGATGAAAGATTTTCAAAGATTATGTGAACAAAAAACACTAGAGTAAGTATTGTAGCAAAAGACCAATAGTTTATTTTTTGTTTAATATCCATTTAAAAACTTAATGTTTTCTTTGTTCACAGAAAGAAGTTTATGTTGCGGTGCATCCAGAGCCTTCTAAAAGTAAAAAAATCTGATATGATCCAGCTCCCAGAGACGTGGCCTTTTTTATTTTGTGACACAGAATATGCTCCACCAAGGGTAAACAAATGAATTGATTTACTGGTATTACTAGTTTAGTTGGTGTCCGATGATATAAGCCTTTTTCCCGCAACAATTTTAATGATGCTACCACAAGCAGACTCAGCTGACGAGGACGGAGTGTTTGCCAACAGAATATCCTTAAAGCGTATAATTTTTTGATGCTTGGATAATGAAAACAGCTGTAATTTAATTGTTTTCAATAACATAACCTTTCAAAATACTTTAACATTTGTTTATTAAAAACCAGTTTTTGTCTTATTACAAGATTGCCCCCACTGTGTTACCCATAAGTTATGCTCATTACAGACAGGTTTGAACACATGACATATTGTTGTTTCCTATTCTGTCTCAAGGACCAAATTGACATTTTTGGCATTGTCAGACCTTTTTTGTCGTGGGAGCTCCTTCTTCCCCAAAAACGTGCGGTTGACAGGTGACCAACTTGTGTAACATTCAATCTGTTTGACTGTCTTCTTACATTTTGTGTACAAACCAATTCTTGGCAATATCAATATATAAAAAATTGTATGAACCATATTTTCTTAACGTTCCGTCAGGGTCAGGCAACATTCCTAACACTGTGCATTTCCCGTAAAACCTGGGAACCACACATAACTTCAAAAACCCTCTCCTGACTCGCCCCATACGTACTAATCCACAGGAACACTGTCCATTGATAGTGGCGATCTTAGAATTGCGCACTTAGCGTCGCTGGCCAGGCAAATTTATACCAAATTTTCTGCAGTCATAGAATCATCTTGAAATAACTTGCATGAACATTAAGTCAGCCTAGGCAGTCGAGCTTATGTGCAGCCATCAGCTCAAGCAGCAAGCGAAGTAAAAAGTCCAATTGGAAAACACGCACGAAGGTGAAACTCGCTCACCAAGTCGTGTGAGACAATTCACCGAAACCAGTAATTCAAGTGTGAGTAATTAGAAATCTTGCAGGAACTACATAGCAGCCCTGTGCGGACCCATGCCGTAGTTAGAAGTTAGAAGTCTAATAAAAATCATACGAGTGCTATGTCAGCAGACCCATGGCGAACTAACTCCTAGCGAGCCCAACAGTTTCGGAAGCAGAAGTCAGTCTAACAATAATCCGCACGGGCGCTATTCAGCAGCCCCAGGCAACCTATGCCCTAGCAGGTCACAGAAGAAATCCTTGTTTCTCCCGTAAAGCTCTTGCCTCGCATTATCTTTCTTTAACTTCAAATTTTTGGCCCTGATTAACTTGAGTCTGATTGCGCTCTTTAAAATAATTTTCTCCACCAATCACATTTCGCTTCAGAAGGTTCTCAAAATGGAAAATTCCCCAGTCCAGCGCTTTCTCCCTCACTAACTTCATTGCGATGTTAAATGAGAAAATGCGTAGTTTCTCCGTGCAACATTGAGCGCTTCTGAGCTGCATTAAATTTATTTGATAGGTGTCAAAAGGGGAGAATGCTGGAGAGCAACAAAAGAAGAAAAACCGATCTCTTTGGTTTAGAAATGTGTCCTCTTACAGGTCAACATGGGGTGGCGGGGTTGCGGTGCGCGCGGGTAGGTACACAAAAAAAGTTGATGCCGCACCGGCACCGGCACTGGGGCGGTTTTTTTGGGCAGGTCTCAAGTGGCTGCCCAAAAGGCTGTCGTTGATGACTTGGCGTGCTAGTGGCGGAGGGACGGGGCTCTGCAAGTTGCGTGCCCGCAGAAGGTGAATCTCTTAATAAATTTTAATAAAAATCAATGCTTATGTTTTTAAGGCCCAGTTTGCTTAGGACCTATGTACCCACAGTACCAGAAGGAAAATGATATATTTGAAGTAGCCAGAGATGAAAGTTTTGAGATTTGGTATTCATCTTACTTCTTGTTGTGATAAAGAGAAACTTTCCAAGACAGGGACAACTTTCAACTAGCAGATTATGATTGTAGACTGTTAAAGAATAATTCTTCTGTATTTCTATCTGTAATGAAAGCAAAATATGCTACATTTTTTAGTTGTTCGTAATTATTGCTTTTTGTGTGCCAATGAAACATACGCAATGGGAAATTATCAAAGGAAAAATACCCAAGGAAACCCTAACTGTTGATGGAATTATTGGAGTATACTTTGCCTTTTGTTTTTCTCTACAAAAACAACAAAACAATTATCCTTCTATAAACAAGTAATAAAAAAATGGTTTGCTTTCTATTTGGTGTCGTATATCTTCTACTTTCTCGTTTCTTACAACATTTATGTAGTAAAGTAAGTTTTTAAAGTGCATGTCCCTACCGAGAATTTCTTAATAATTGTTTATGTCCTATGTTGAGAGTACTTAGTGGACCCAGAATCTGAAGTCAACACCAATATGAACAAATAATTAGGCTCACCTATCGTAATAAGATTATGCTGGGGCTTTGTACCAGCCTCTGAAATGCAACTAGTGAGGATGTTAAATGAATAACAGTGTCTGTCTTTCGTCTCTTCTTAACAAATTTACAGATCTTCCTGAAAAATTTATTGATTGGGCAAAATGTTTCAGTGTGTGGTCGAAAGCTAATACTGAAAGTGTTCAGATGTTTTTCTTTCAAAAATTAATATTTTACAAATCTATACATCTATCTAATGAACATGAAAATGAACTTGGATTGCCCTTGCGGAGTTTGAAACATACTATTTGATTTTGAGGGTACATTAAAGGAAGCCTTAATGTTATCAAAATTTTCTCAAATGGCTCCAAAAATTTTGAATACACTTTGGCCTCAAGATAGCATAAAGAATACTAAAATATTTTCCAGGTCTCATTTTCATTAAAAACCCTGAATTTTAGAAAATTGCCCAAAGGTTAAAAATTTTGTTTAGCCTCTTCCCACAACTGCAATACGGTAACTGAAGATGAATTTTCCTTAATTCTGTTGTTGTAATTGTTGCAATTTTAAACAATTATTCCTCTCAAAAATGCCACGAATTTTATTCTTTAATTGTTTTCCTTGTACGCTAACAAAGGAAAGTTTAAAAAACTGATTCTCTCCCATTTTCATTGAACTTATTTCGAAAATCTGCAAAAAAGTTTGCATTGCAGATAGCAGTTTTGTTAAATGAAAATTTATTCAAAAAAGGATATCTTTTTAAATAAAGATTTCCTGTAGAGTTTGTTTTTTTTTTTAAGAGCCGGTTTGGCAAAATTTCTTCTTGGAAGTTAATGCAAATTTTTTAAAAATTTGTTTTTTCTCAAAAACTGCTCCAAATTTTGTCTTTAATTTATTTTTCTCAGATAAGAGTAAAGGGCCCTTAAAAAATTACGCCAGGTCTCATTTGCGGTTGAAATCTGTATTTTTGAAAATTGTACAAATTAAAATAATTTGTGAAGAAGTGATAGGTTTTTTAAGCATCGGAAAACTTCGATTTAAGCTATTCTAATTATTCGCCTCTACAACATTTTTTTCGTTGCTTACTTATGAGGTCAGTAATGTATATTATAAAGTTTGTTTTTGAGTTGTTTAACACACAATTGAGATGCATTTGATTCCACTCCTTGCTTCTTGATTTATGTGTCTACAAGTTTAGCCATAATTAGGGTTTTATAATAAATGGCGCCATAAGTAATACAAATGCATTACAATATTATACTTTAGGCGTCATTGACCGACTGTACCATACTGTCTGACCCAACTCATGACTATAGACATTCAATTAATATATTTATTTATTTTGAAAAGTCTTCATTGTGGTCGTGAAACTCCAATTGTTGCTGTTCTTCATTCCTGATGGACGAACAAAAGAAATGGCTACATCAGGGAGCTCCAAGAGACCCACGCCTCCTGACGACGACTACTACTACTACTCCATCAGTAAGTAAATATGTATTTGAGTATCCTTATGTATCTAAATGTATTGCATTTTTTAAGAATTATTTACATTCCCCATGCTAAAATATTTTTTTCTCTGAAAGATCAAAAAAATCTGCCAGTGAAATTACTTTTCTTGCCACCAGATGTCAAAAATGCTATGTTATGTAATTTCAAGTATTTGTACATGCTCTGTTGTACTTACTAATTTATTAGTCATTAAAATATTAGTCATACTGTATTTTCATGTTTTTTTGCTGCTTTAGTGCACATGCTGCGTGATACTTGTGAATGCTTTCTTGGGTAACTTTTCTTATGACTGGAAAAATTGTATTCCGTTTTGTAATTAACATCATAACTTACATTGCGCAGTTTCCCAATTCAATATTCCTGGTAGGAAAACAATATGACTTCGAACAGAGTGTTTGGACCTGCGCTTGCAACGTGATTTTTGGAAATTGATGAATTTGATTTTTGAATTTATACCTGATTCACTTTGCATCAACAGAATTGGAAATATCGGCTGGAATTATTATTTAAATCTTGCGACAAGTAAATCAAATCTTCTGTAAAATTGTTGTAATAGCAAAACGATTGCCTAAAATTTGAGGAGACCATTTTAACAATAGGGATACTGGATAACTATGACACAGAAACAAATCCATAGCGGCACTCATTAGAAGTTTTGCCACAGCCCGCTAGTAGAAAAATGTGATTAACAATCTTGTGACCAGTAGGTGGGATGCCAATTGCAAAGCATTGCCAGGCTCTAGTAGTTTTGGCTAAAAGGAACATTTTTTTCAATTTCTGTTAGTCCCACCACCACCAAATTTTCACATCTAATGTTAACACAAGTTAAATACATTCTTAATGGGAAATATTTCAGGGAAAAAATATTTTTCATTTAAAGTAACTATTAAAATATTACAAAACTTTACTTGTTCAAAAAATTTATATTTTCACAAAAATACAAGTTTGAAAAAATCTCTTGTCAAAATGTTTTGTTACAAATGCTGGATAATTTGGGGGGGGAAAGTTAAAGGAGATAGGCTTCAATAATTTTTTGAAAAGATGTTCTCAAAGAATCACCAGGTTGAGCCCTGGAGAAAAACACCTCTTTCTGGTTTGCCGTTAAGAACTTCTCAAAAACTCCTCTGTATTTGGTTTTCAAAGTAGTGTTTACTCAAATTAATAATTGTAAATGTTGATTTTACATTTCCTGTACTTTTTCCAAGATTTAGTGTTAAATGAGGCAAACTACATCACGAAAGCCTGGTATATATGAAAATTCTGACGTTAAAGAAGCCACACGTGATCGAGTTTGTGTGCATGGCTTTAACACAACTGTGAGTTGTTGAAGAATTCAATGTTTTTACTTTACCTTCTCAACTTATTGTATTTTTTAGCCAAAAATGAACATGAGGAAAGATGACATCTAATTTGTAGAAAAATTTCCAACTATCCGTTTGGGTTTACAGAAATAGACCGAACAAGGACAGTTTACACTATTAGGATTCTTTATTTGTTTAATTATCCTCTTGAATTTAGTGAGTGATTTGTTGAATTTCTGGAGTGGGGTTGGGGAACTAAAATAATTATGTTTCTGAGATTACTTTACATTAACTGTACATTAACAAAGAAATCGCTACAATATTAATGGGATATGCAATATTCATTATTCAATACTAATTGGTTTTGAAAAAACTTGAACTTTGTAAATTTTCAAAAAATCCAAGAGGTTTTGAATTAAAAAAGGCGGCCTATTGTGTATGATTGAGAGATTTAGGACTCTATACTGAGAATAAAATTAGAAAAAAATTTTGCCCAGCCATTTTTAAGAAACATTTTTTATCCTTGTCTATTGTCACAATTTGACTTAAAAAAATGTGCAACAAACCATTCACATTTGGTAAGAAAAAGAAAGTACACTACATCATTAAAACACATAAAATTTGAAGAATAAATTGTCATTGAGAAAAATTTTCTAGCTTCCAGTTGAAGTCAATGATGATGGGAAGAAAGAGAACTTTAGTAGTTTTCGAAAATTCAGAGGTTTTAATGAAAAATTGGGCTTAAACCTTAATAAGTTGCCTTTTGCACTATTCCAGAAAAATAAAAAGGAAAATGCTGCAGCCATTTCGACGAAAAAATTTTTAAAAATTAGTTTCGTGGAAAATACTCCCCAAAAAAATAAAAGATACCCAAAAGGCCCCCAAAAAAACTGGCAAGTCGTCACGTTCGCCTAGATCAATCGCTTAATCTCATTTTGGGTCGAAAAATATTGGAACTCTTTTAGGCGATGTTTCTTATTCACTGTCGGACGATTTTGAAAAGAAACTAGTAGGGCTACAGAATGGCCACAGAACGTTCCCATATCTAGTTTTCTATTTCTTTGGTCTTGGGCTGGCTATTCGGACTTGCCACGGACTTCTTGGCAGCGCCATCTATCGGCCATCCAAAGTACATTTTTGGGAAATTATTTTAATTTTCTGTTCCCTAATTGTGAAAATGCGAAATATTATGTGAAGAAAATTTAAGAACGGTAAAAACCGCGTTCTAAATTGCCAATTTTATTTGGAACAAATTCATAGTCGTTTGTTAAGCGAAAATTTGGTCGCTTAACTGTAAATTTGGAAATTGAAGCTCTTTTTCATAGAACATTTTTGAGTATTCGAAAAACTTCTTTTAAAGTCATTTAAGCTCTTTAACTCACAAATACAATAGTGTTTCAAGTTGCTCTAAATGTGCATTATTAACGGAGAAGTGAGAGCTTTTTGAAAAGAAAGTACATTTGTTTG